AGTTGTTCTCTGACCTCTACTTGTGCCATGGAATCTACAACCAGGTTTAGGTGTAGTTTAAGTACAGCCAGCAGGTATAATATACTTAAAGGGAGGTGTGATTCTACATAGAAAGGGAAACAACAAAATGGATATAATGTATTCATTTTGCTGATGAGTCTGGAACAAGAAATCCTTGTCACCTAATGCCTAGAAAGAGTATAGAATTGACTTCTAATCTCCAATTTCTTGATGCCCTATAACAATGTAGAATTTTAGTTCCTGTAAAAATCATCTCAGAGAAGTAATTTGAAAGAAGAGTGATCGGGTGATGGTGGCACACTCCTTTAATTCCAGCACTCTGGAGGCAGAGGCAGGCAGATCTCTGTGACTTTAAGGCCAGCCTGTTTTCCAAGACCTGGATGGGCTCCAAAAGCTACAGAGAAACCCTGTCTCGAAAAAGAAAAGGAGAAGGAGAAGGAGAAGGAGAAGGAGAAGGAGAAGGAGAAGGAGAAGGAGAAGGAGAAGGAGAAGGAGAAGGAGAAGGAGAAGGAGAAGGAGAAGAAGAGGTTCTGGTTTCAGAGTGTTTGGTTCTTCATGTAATGAGGGGTTTAGCAGCTCCCATCACAGAAGGTCCTCTTTCAGAATTAGTCTTTCTCTCTCAGATATTTTTTTTTTCTAGGAATGTCTTCACAGATGCATCCTTGACACACTTTACTAATCGCTTAGATACTTCTTAAGTTAATCACAGTGGCGATCAAGATAAATCATTACAAAAAAAGGCTCTTTTCCACTAGATACTCAAATCTCAAACTACCGAATTTCAGAAGTGACACCCTCAAAGTCTCACATATATCTTATCATGTCTAATGCCTTCAGTTTATTTTTAAGAGTGTCTACAACCCTTTTCTTGTCTTTATTTGTTTGCTTTTAGATTCTATGATGTTGCCATAGTTTAGGGGTTGCATTATAAATCTATCAATTGGGGCTAGGTATTCCATGGTCAGTTCTCTGTATTTCAACTAGTTGTGGCTTTCAGTCATGGTCTTCTACTGGTACAAAAAGAAGCTTCATTGATGCTGGGTGAGAGCTACAGTTATTCCTGGGTGTAAGGATATGTAGTTAGAATGCAGTTAGGAATTATACTTGTTTACCAATGTGACAGTAGTATATTATCCTCCAAGATCTCTAGCCTCACTATCCATGTGTAGGTGGCTAGTTTTATAGTACTAGGAATGATTTCTCTCCTGTTAAATAGGTCCTTAAGTCCAACTTTCCTGAATATATTTTTACTGCAGTTTGGATTTGTCTTTATCCTTTCTATAACTCTCCTAGCTGAATCACTTATATACTTGTTTAATAACTTAAACACTGCTAATATATCTTATAAAAATGTCTCTAACGAAGAAATTGACATTTACTTAGAGAATTGCAGTAACACAGAGTCCCATTTTTCCCTCTAAGCTTTTGTTATAATCTCACCTAGGAGAAGTTGGCCTAAGAGAACAATGCAATCACTCTTGAGGACCTAGTATAACACTACCTAGAAGAGGTGTTTGAGAGTTTGAGATGCTGTTTTGCAGGATGTAATGTAGAGTGTGAAGAAGGAAAAGACATCAACAGATGATTCCGTTTCTTCCATAAATATAATACATGGGCCAAAGAACTACAAGGTTGTGAAAGAATGTCTCCTAATGATCTATTTGCAAAAATGTTTTCATTTTGATTCTTATTTTCACAATACTGGCTTCTACTATTTTATAAACTTATTATTTATAATATATTACCATCATTGGAGATACAAGAAGGTTTATTCTGGGTCAGAGTTTCAGAAGTTTTAGTATTTAGTCTCTTGGCCCTGATGCTTTAAACCCTGTGGCTACATCGTTGTGGCATAAGTAAATGGCAGTTAATGTCTTATCATATGAGAGTCAAGGCAAATCAAACCAAGAAAGAAAGAAAGATAAGAAAGAAAGAAAGAAAGAAAGCAGGAAGGAAGAGAAAAGAAGGAAGGAAAGAAGAAAGAAAAGAAAGGAAGGAAGAAAGACAGAAAAAAAGAAAAAGAAAGGAGAAAAGGAATGAGGTCATGATCCCAGCACCCTTTTCAAGGACATGTTCCTAGTGACTTAAATTCCTTCCCCATCTCCTAAGAGACAGTTGCTTTCTAATAGTGCCAATGGCTAACAACTAAGCCTTTGTTTTATAGATCTTCAGGACAATTTCTAAAGTGTAGCATTATCCAAGGGTAGGCAATTTTTAGCTTAGGAAAACAAAAATGGTTTCAACAGAATTAGAACATAAGATTGCTTCTTATCAGCAAACCAATGTGAAGTCAATGAAAAGCAAACTACCACAGTATTTTATAGATTATCAGATATAAATCAAAAATTATTTACTGGCTTTCCTCTTCCACCCTATACTATCGTGTTGGTCAACATCCCATCACAGTGACAGTTACTAGAGAAAACCAACTTAAGGAAGGAAAGATTTATTTTCACTTATGATTTCAGAGGTAGTTGACTGTAGTGTTTTGAATAAGAATGGTCCCTATAGGTTCATATATTTAATTTGGTCACAAGAGAGTGTCACTATTAGGAAGTGTGGCATTGTTGGAGTAGTTATTTGCTGTATTGGGGGAAGTGTGCCACTGGGGGTGGAATTTAAAGTTTTAGATGCTCAAGCCTGGCCTAGTGTCACTATCTCTTCCTGCTGCCTGTTGATCTAGATGTAAGAACTCTTACCTCCTTGTAACACCATATCTGCTTACATGCCTCTATGTTCTACCATGATGATAATGGACTAAACCTCTGAAAATTTCCATAAGCAAACCACCCAAATTAAATGTTTCCCTTTGTAAGACTTATTGTGATCATGGTGTCCCTCCACAGTAATAGGACAGTGACTAAAACATCGTAAACATGCTCTGCATATTTCATGTGTTAAAGGCATAATCCCATAAGTTATATACTAATGAATTTTTTCTATGGAACCTTTGGAATAGTTTAGATTATGACTACATTAATAACTTTATAAGAAGAGTTACCTTGTTTTCCTTCCAAATGTGATTTTGCCCACTGTGTTATGATGCAGGATAAACACCTTTACGAGATGCTGCACAGATGTCCTCGCCAGGCTCTTGAACTCATGTATCTTTTCTTTATAATTTTACAATATAAAATATTTTGTTATGGAACTTGAAAATGGACAAGGTGAATACCACATTGACTTTTTGTGGCACTAATTTTGCATTAGTGTTGTGCATACTTGGAAATGGTCAAATTTGGGTTTCTAGCAGTATGGTATAGATTGGTAATATTGCATTGTGTAAGAACACTTAGACCTTATCTATTTACAAAATCTCTCAAATGCTGTATTTAATGAGTCATAGGGGGCCAGAAGTGGAAGGTATCATCACAGTCAGGCTGTTGATAGCCCAGAATTGACACAGGGCGAAAACAAGTCTAAGAGAGCATAACCTGGGAGGTAGTCAGAGTTGAGTTCCCACCCTCTGGCTTTATCTTCTGATCTCTCAGAGTAGTTTTGTGGTACCTGCTCATATATTTATTTCTCATGTGGGCTATAATGTGAATAAGGTTGTTGTTGGGAGGCTGTTTTTCATGGGTCTATTGAATTTCTGCATGTATGAAAAGAACCTTTTGCTCTTTGCCACTTATTCAATAGTCTTGTATCTTATGCTGACATCTGTGAAACTGCAGCTACCCTGCTACTTGAAAGCAGAAAGCAAAATCTCAGACAATTTATGGCTTGTCCCAGTTGCAGTCAGTGCTTTCAGAAGTTGTTAGTAAATATGTGAGGATAGTTGTGTTCTATTTAAATTAGTTTTAGAGATTCTGAGGCAAAATGAAACAGCAAAACAAAAATAAAAGAAATGAAAAGCAGGTTACGGCCTTGTAGGATCCTGTAATTAAATAGCCCCAGGAATTGGGGTGGGAAGGAGTGTGTGATAAATTTCAATTATTATTTAAATAAGAAAGCTTTTTCATTTCTCCTTGAATACAACATCTACTAATTTGGCAAAAATGATAGAAAAAAATTAAAAATTAGAAAGTGAATATATACCATAAAGGTAAAGATGGAAGTAGAATTGGGGGGAGTATTTTTCACATCCTTTTTAAACCCAAATGCATTAAGGTTATAACAATGAAATTATCACCTAAAAGGTAACTTTGACTTTAAGAAAAAGAAGTAATGAGCTAGGAAAAACAGTATAGACCTTGTGAAACGCCCTATTTTCATATGACATACTCAGATCTAGTAAGAGGAAGGGTGTCAAGTTTATAGAAATGGCAATGATAATAATAAAATTCAAGAGTTCTTAAGCACTATGTAATATTTCTCATTAATTTTGATTATATCCTTTTGTTTATTTGTAGCTCAATTTTAGGGTCACTGAAATGAAAATACCATTTTATCCTACTTATAAGGTCCTGCTATATAATTGCTGATTATCTGCCATATTGACTCCAGATACCAATGTGTGACTGATTGAAAAATTGATTTCTTAGTTTCATTGAGTTTTAAATAGTTAAAATTTATGTTTAAAGATCAGCTTTTGGCTAATGGCCACTACAAGTGACTATAGTGACTATAACAACTACAGTGCAATTAGGAACATTAAGAGGAATTAGAAGCCTGATTGGAAATCCGAATTTCAGTTATTTTTGATATATAATAAACAGCAATGCTACTGGTGTACAGGCTACAAAACTCCTTCACTTACTCAGCAAACATTTATATACATGTATGCTGTGCATAAGTGGAAAAGAAGTTTAAACACCATCCAACCAACCGGTTAAAAATGAGTAGGTCTGTGCAAGGTTACAGAAAACGTCACTGGGAAGGAATGAGCCACAGATCTCGCGAGACCTGCTACTGTCGCAATTGTCATGAGAGCTCCAAGTTCCATGAGAGTTTCAAGTCCTAGGAGAGGTTAAGTGCTGATGTTCTGGGTGGTCCAGAAACTGTGAGGCATTGCCTCGGCTAGGTCAGAGTTCTGAACCATGTCTTCGGATCTCAGATCAAAGCAGGGGAGGAATAGATCCAAAAGCCAGGCTTTGTGAGTAGCACAGTTCAAGATGGTAGCTGATAGCGGGTACAGAGGCAAGAATCCTGCCCTCAGAATGTTTCCGGGGACTCTGAGTTCTGGCCAGGGGATCAGTATGGCTGCCGACCCTCAGTTTGGTTTCTGGGCTGCAGTAAGTCAGTGTCTGCAAAATATGTGGGCCCGGAGGCACTTGGACCTGTTTCTGTTTCTACTCTGGATGCTGGTGATCCTGTGCTATTTTGTGAATACTGGTGAGTGTTGATTCTAGGCTAAATAAGGTATAACAGGAGCTTGGGATTTGTGGGGAAAGTGAGTCCAAGGGGCAGAGTGATGAGTGGTGCCCAGGAGGGGAGTGGGGAAAAAGGGGGATGCTTGGGGTGCTACTCGGCAGGAGTAATGGGGTTAAAAGAATCAGAGTGAGACAGAGGGCCAGGCGAATTAATAGGGGCCCAATGATTAGTGAGGCAGGAATTGATGGGATGAGGAGGGAATGGGGTTGAGGTGGGGGACAGTGATTGCAGGGACATGTAAGATTGGACTGGAGTGCTGTAGTGAGATTTGGGGGTGAGGCAGGATGGAGGTAATTAAAATGTGTGAGGTGATTGAGGGTTTGAGTCCAGTATCGAAATGTGTGAGGGAGTTTTTGAGAGGGTAAGGCAGGGTTGTGGTGTGGGGTGAGCAGGACCAAGGGAGAGGCCAGGGCTGAGGGTTGAGGCAGGATTAAGGGTGACAGATGGGAACTGAAGGGATTAAAAAAGTATACCAATCATTGAAATGTGTTTCAGTCCTCCTCAATAACCATTCACCTCACACACTTTCTTTTATAAAACCCCTGTCCTTTTTTAGGGCTAAATAGTATTTCATTATATGGATTTTATACATATATATACACACATTTTATATATGTATATATTTATCAAATATACTAAATTTGTGTTGTTTCTTTCTTTATATTATGAATAATTCTTTTATGAGCATTTGTATATAAATTATTGTGTGGATATATTAAGAGTAGAATTTGGGGGTCATGTAGGAACTACATACTGAATTTTTTGAGGAAGCCATAGGCAGATTTCATGACTGACTCATTTATGTTCCTAGCAGCAGTGTTCAACATTTGCTGTTCCTCTCTCTTTGTGATGATAGTGTTGAAATAGTTTTGTTGAAATAGGAGCGGCGGGGCTGCATCCCCAGCACCCCGGCCGCCTGCTAGCTTATGCCCTGAAATAACAACACACAAACTGTATTCATTTAATCACTGCTTGGCCCATTTCTATCTAGCCTCTTCTAGGCTAATTCTCGCACCTGGACTAGCCCATTTCTAATAATGCGTGTAAGCACCCCAAGGTGCGCTTACCAGGAAGATTCTAGCCTATGTCCATCCTGGGTTGGAGCTGCCTGGGAGAGCGGAGCCTGGCGTCTCTGCTCCAGAGAGCAGAGCTGTCAAGTCTCTCTAGGAGCAGAGCAGAGTCTGACCTCACTTCCTCTTCCTCCCAGCATCCTATTCTGTTTACTCCTCCCACCTATGTTTTAACCTATCAGGGCCAGCCAAGCAGTGTCTTTATTGCTTAACCAATGAAATCAACAGATTGATATATGACACCCCCACATCATGATAGCATTCTGATAGCTATTAAGTGATACCTTGTTTTGATTTTGATTTGCATTTCTTCAATGACTAGTGATGTTGAACACCTTTTCATGTGTTTGTTAACATTTGTTTAACTTTGGGAAAATGTTCTTTTAAAAAACTGCTAATTTTAAATGTGTTTTAAAATTTTAATGCATTTTTAGATTTTCTTTTTGTATTTTATATATAGGGTCATTATCCAAGAATACCATTTGCAAATATTTCCTCCAGTTCTATAGATTGTCTTTTTACTTTCTTCATAATGTCCATAATGTCTTTGTTTAAAATTGCCTTGCAACCTAGCCCAGGTCTGGTTAGCCCAGGTTATTCTGACACTTGTCAAAATCCTTCTGCCTCTGCCTCATGTTGGGCTTTACAGGCATGGAACACTATGTCCAACATAATGTTCTTTGATGTACAAAAGATTTACATTTCTATGAACTACAAATTATGTTTTTTTCTTTGTTTGGTCCTTCAGTGTCATATTGAAGTAACCATTGCCAAATCCGAGGTCATGCAAAATTATTTCTGTTTTCTTCTAAGAATTTTAAAATTTTATCTCTCAAATTTGAATTGTTGGCCCATTTGTGTTAATTTTTATATATAGTATGTATGAGGAGTTAACTTATTTTACCTTTTGCATGCAACTAATCAGTTTTAATCTCAAAAGGTTTTAAAAACTTTAATTTTTATTTGTGTGTGCATCTGTGTATGTGCACTTTGTGTCAAGTCATCTTTAGAAGCCAGAGAAGAATATCAGACACCAGATACCGTGGAGCTAGAGTTAACAGGCAGATGTGAACTTCCCAAGATGGATCCAGGGAACTGAACTCTGGCCCTCTGAAAGAGCAAACTGTGCTCTTATTCTTGAGCGTCTCAACCAGTCCCTGTTGTTGTTCTTATTGGGAGTGTATTGTGTATGTGAGTGAATGTTTGTGCATACCACGGTGTGCATATGAAAGTCAGAGGGGAACTCCAGAGTCAAGTCAGTTCTCTTCCTGCCTTTATACCCTTACCTTCCAAGAATCAAACTCAGGTTCTCAGGTCTGATTTGCAAGTGCTTTTACCAATACCAGTGGCCCATCTTGCTAGGACCAGATAAGATTATTTTATTTTGGCTACCCAATAGACTAATGATAAGAAAGGGTATGAGGGTACAAAAAAGTGACATTTAGCTGTATTATTATTAGTATGCTTCAGGGTTCCACTGGAAAGTCATAGCCCAGTGATACAGTCTGCGAGGTCCTGGGAATAATTTGGATCATCAAGAATAAAATACAAAATCGCCAAACAGAACAAGCAACACCAACAAAATAAGAATTTAACAAGAATATTTTTAATTGTTAGCAAATATATAGCTCTAATACTAATATTCCAAGCAGGTGATAATCATTGTAATATTCTTTAAAATAAAAATGAATTAAGAACAACATAAATGTTTTCCTAGATAATAATTCAGCCATATAAAAAGTTCTAAGGCATAATTAAAGAGACTATTGAATATTTTTCTTTATCTTACATGGGAGAGAATTATGCAAATGAAAGAAAATTGGCTTATCTGTAATAGAATGAAAGAGGGCTAAGAAATACTTTCTGTACCCTCATGTGAGGACATCAAGCATACTTGTCAAGACTTTATTAGCTAGGTTCTGATATAGTTGGAATACATATTGCTTCTGATTTTTCTTTTTTTTTCTTGGGTTTTCCATTGATAAACCTTTAAACACTAAGCTCTTTGTTAAGCAAATTTGTTATTTAAATCATTGTCCAGAAGACCAGTGGAATGTGTGAGTCTGTATGTTAAATATTTGTTAATTTGAATACTTTTTCAGTTTTGTGACAGAATCACAATCTGATTATTAATGCTATTAACACTGTTACAAGATTAAAATGCAACATCTGTTATATTTCCATAACTAGTTTAAGCACGGTTAGTTACTATTAAAGCTTCATTGAAAATGACAAATGTTTATATATACTGGGATTAATAATTTCACTTCTATACATTTCTCAGATTCTGTGTCTTTAAGTAAGAAATTGCCACGGCACAATGGAACTCTAAAAGTTCGATCCAACTGGGAAATTCTGTTGAAATTTTTCTTTCCAACAAGTAAGTTGTCTATTTATGTATTTATTTATTTTTTTTACTTAATGTCCTTGTTTTAAAAAGTAGTTAAGCACTTCAGAAGCAGACTGTTTTTAACATTGCAGTGGAACAGACCTGAGTTTGAGCCCTGACTCTGCCCTTTGCCTTAAACAAGAAAATCTCTCTGGATATCTTCTTACAATGAAGATACATACACAGGAGTTGTGAGGATAAATTGGGACAATAATTGCAAGCGAAAAGGGCAGATTAAGGCTTAAGTTTGTATTTTTTCATAAAGTACTTTTCCTTTAGAAATACCTAAAGCTTTTATAATTTACCTGAGTGGCATGGCCTAGTTTAGTCACTGACCCAGTATTGTTAAATTGATGTCTTTTGTGGCATTATCAGTGGCTCTGTTGCTATGGAATATATCAGATGTTTTCCCATCTGTGATAATGATAAAACATCCAGGTTTCAAGTCACATAATTTTGTGATCTGTATATGGTATTTTTTTATCAAGTACATGATGACCCTTGAGAATTATTAGCTACAAATAAACATATTTTATTTTCTACAGTATGTACAAGCCCTTTCAAAGTGAGGTTTCTTATAAATTGCCATGATAAAGATTTTGCTAAAAACTATGCAGAATTTATTCTAAGAAAACCTGATATACTTATCTAAACACAAAATTGAATCCATTGTTTAATTCCAGATCACACCATTTAAATCTTCTGTGGAAAAATCTATGCTTCTCTAGTGATTTCATCAAGTATAAAATAGCTATTGTAACACCTGCTACCTATGAGAATAGGAAAATCAGTTAAAGCTACTGCCATAGTCAAGTTGAATGAACAAGAAAATAAATCTGGGAAGGAGTTATGTTGGATAGACTAAAAGAAGGGCTTATTAAATACAGTAACAGGAAACGACAGTTTAAGCTTTAGAGCTTTGAAAACAAACAGAAATCAACTGTTAAACACTTGCCTACTTGCCTAGGATGATTACAGTAATACAAAGAGTGAAGTGGCCTTTAAAATGGTCCAAATGATATTTATTTATTTAATTTTAGGGTTTTTTTTATTTATTTGTTATGTTTACAATATTCTGTCTGTGTGTATGTCTGCAGGCCAGAAGAGAGCACCAGACCTCATTACAGATGGTTTTGAGCCACCATGTAGTTGTTGGGAATTGAACTCAGGTTTTTTTTTTCTTAACATAAGAAATTGAATTAAAATAAATTGTGTAAAACTTTTTTCTCAAATCAAATTGTTTATTCTCCCTTTTTCCTCTTCCTCCTTCTTCCCTTCATTCCTTCCTTTTATTATTTGTGACAGGGACTGACATGGCTAAGGGTAATTCTCACATTCTTTATGTGGCCGAGAATGACATTAAACTTCTATTCCTTCTGCTTCCATCTCCCAAATTCTAGAATTATAGTCACATGCTGCCAAACCTGGTTTATGAGGTACAGGAATCCAACTCAGGGTAGCATGTGCATTAGGCAAGCACTTCATCAACTAAGGCACAATCTATGTCCTGCTTTCCTTTTTAAAAGAAAGACCAAGATTGATCTACTGCGATTTAAATAATACAGTCTCTGTGTGATTATTTCAAGTCTCGGCAGCTGGGAACGAACAAGCGGCCTCCTACTAAAATCTTTGAAAACAGAGTATTAACATTTATCACTTTTACATACTATCTTTTTTGAAAACAATAATTATGAAATAACCTAACTGAAATAATTTTGAGTGTTCCCAACATAAAGCAATAGAAATGTTTAAGGTGGTGTATATGCTGTTACTCCAGAATAGACATTGCACACACTATGTACATATACACATATATATTTATGGCAAGGACACTGTGCCCCATAAATTACTGAGTGTATTGTTAAATAGCTGGTAATTTAAACTTTTATTTTTTTCATTTTGACTTTAGCATTTATCATTGTTTGTATTTTTGAATGTACTGTGTTAAATGTTTTTCTTTTTCTCTTCCTTTGTATTCATTTGATTATGAACATGCTTTTTAATCATGCTAACTATTCTTTCTTGGATTCCTATCTTTGGAAGCATGCATTATAAGGGAGAATCAGGAGGTAATGGCTTGTAATAAGCAATCATATCTCAGCGAGACTGAATGTTTAAAATCCAAGTGCTGCTTTTCATCATCTGGGACCAAAATGAGGTGCTATGCCCCACGAAGAGATAGTAAGTAGATCAGATCTTATTTATTTGCTTTAAATACTAAAAAACAAAAGTAGAAAAACATTTAAATAAATAGATTGCAAGGTTTTTAGATTTTTCTGCTCAACATTTCCAAGGAATTCCCAAACCAAGACCAATGGTATCATTAGAAATTCTGAGATAGTTCCCTAGCAGTTTGTGTTTAGTTAGTTCTTCAACGATAACTAACATCCAGAATTAGTCTAAGCTGTTCAGTCACTCTCCCTTTTCTTTCCAAGCTTCTAAGCTGCTGTATGAGGTATGATTCTCTGCCTGAAAGAAGGTACCAGAAAGGTGTAAAAAGGGCATAGTAGTTTCCTTTCTTGCTGCTATGACACAGATCCTACCAAAAACAACTTGTAAAAGGCTTCATTTCACTCCCTCTTTCAGTGGCTTCAGTTCATGGCACCTTGGCTCCATGTATTTCAGCAGAATATCATGGTAGTTAGAACATGTCAAGGAGGGAAAAGAGTGAGCCATTTTATAACCAACTAGGAATCAGAGATGGAGAATACACATAGCATGATCTACTTGCGCTACGTGGGCCCTACCTCTACTTTTCACTGCCACCCAGTGTCATTAGTAAACAATAAATCTCTAAAGCGATTAAACTATTAGTTAATTACAGGAGAGCCTTCACAATCTACAGTGTCTCCAGATTTTCTTACAGATACATTCAGAGATGTGCTTCATTAAATCTTCTAGGCTTTTCTGAATTCGAAGTCAATTGCCAATCAACATTCACTATCACAGGGAGTAATTCCTTCTCACTCATTGTGAAGTGTCTTAGATGATAGCCCTATTCCAAAAGTGAGATTACCAGGAAAAAAATCTCAAATTTATTTAATCATAATTTTCTGTGACACTGAGGCTTCTGAATTAAGAGTTGGTGATAGAAAGTAACATTTAATACACTTTGATCCATGGAGCACAGCCACATGTAGAAATGATTGGACACAAAGTGTGATTTTATTTATTTATTTATTTATTTATTTATTTATTTATTCATTTATTTATTTAAGATTACTGTCTCATCCCCACCACCGCCTCCCATTTCCCTTTCCCTTCCCCAATCAAGTCCCCCTCCCTCATAAGCCCAAAGAGCAACAGGCGATGAAAGGAGACAGAGACAGAGACCCACATTGGAGCACCGGACTGAAATCTCAAGGTCCAAATCAGGAGCAGAAGGAGAGAGAGCACGAGCAAGGAACTCAGGACCTCAAGGGGTGCACCCACACACTGAGACAATGGGGATGTTCTATTGGGAACTCACCAAGGCCAGCTGGCCTGGGTCTGAAAAAGTCTGGGATAAAACCGGACTCGCTGAACATAGCGGACAATGAGGACTACTGAGAACACAATGTGTGATTTAAATGGGGAAGTCTGAGAAGGTCTGTCCAGATTCTTAATGCCCTCCCTGTATCCTTCCTCCCAGGTATCTGCTTTAGGGCCCTATGGAACTAGAAATCCTGTGACCTGCTAAATCAGGGATCGCTTCCTTTTTCTACTCTTCTTCTTCCCTTCTCCCACTTTTGTTTGCTTCAGATTTTTTGTTTGGGGTCTCAGGAAGCTCAAATTTGCCTTAAGTTTGCCGAATAGTTAAGCATGACCTAGAACTTAGGGTTTTCCTATCTCAGAACTTCAGATGTTCAGATTATAGTCATGTGGCACAGCACCTATCTGGTCACAACATCTTTATCTCCAAGAATGAAAGGCAGGAGGAAATCGGAGTAACTGTTTGAGCTTATGACGGATTTTGGGGAAAAGAACTTCTTTCTGTGACCTGTCTTGGGTGAATAAATTTGAATTTCTCTGACTTTTCATCTGGGGGAGAGAAAAGGAGGAGATAAGAAGCTAGGTGAAAATCAGAAAGAAATCGGACTATTTTTTTCTGAGACAGGAGTCCCCTATGTTTTAGTCTGGCCTTGAAATTTCTCTATAGCAGGTGAGGACCTCGAGTTTTCAGTGAGCTTATAGACTTGCACTACCATGCCTAGTTTATGTGGTGCTAAAGTTCAAACATACTAAACAAGCAATCTACCAACTTTTGGGCTTCTAAGGCTACATACGAGGCCCTCTCTCTGGTATCATATTCTGCTCAGTCCTAATAACACCACTTAGGAACAGCTTAGCTTAACTTTTTATTCTGAGTTTCTCTTGTATCGAATTCTTCTCATTTGTCTTGTCTTCGACAGCTTAGCATGCAGAAGTAGATGTGAATGTTTCCTGTTAGCTGTCTTTATTAGCTTTTCTTTGTTCTGTTTCTTTTAGAATAATCCAAAGCAAAGTTATCCTCTTAAGATTTTTCTTCCTGAAGTTAAAGAAATAACACCATCTGTATTTTTCTTCTACCTTATTTGCTGCTGGGGTCATATTATCTGTTGGTCCCATGATAAGTGTATTGGATGTGATAGAGCACTAGGAAATAACAGGATCCATGTAGAACAATATCTTAGGTCTATATATAGTCCTTATTCAGTTTCGAGCTCATTGTTGTACATCTAGTATTAATGATGAAAACTAAAGCATGATCGTGAATATAGTATTGAAGTTTTAATGCTGTCATGTTGTATTTAGAATTTATTCATCATTTTACTGTTTCTATTATGTGTAAAGAAGCATTTGGTTCTTTTAATGGAAAAAATTAAACCATGACTTATAGTTCCCCAATCACATTAGAATGCATTTCCCAGTGTATATGAGGCTAAATATGCTTCTTTACCTGCAAATTTTTGATTCTGTGTTTAATTAAGTGCTTTATAATTTGGAAGTAAACACTGAAGAAGCCATTTCTTTTTTTTTTAAAGACTTATTTAATTATGTATACAGTGTTTTCCCTGCACGTATCCCTGCAGGTCAGAAGAGGGCACCAGATCTCATTATAGATGGTTGTGAGCCACCATGTGGTTTCTGGGAATCAAACTCAGGTCCTCTGGAAGACCAGTCAGTGCTCTTAACCTCTAAGCCATCTCTCCAGCCCCAGAAGCCATTTTTTTTTACCAGGTTAACTATTCATAGATTGATATGTTCTTCAGATGCTCTAGGAGGTATAACATATAGCCATAGAGCAAGTACACTTAGGGCCATACTAAGAATCCAATATTATGAAACATAATCTGCCAATGAAAACAGCCTAATTATTCTGTTAAGGTATTGTTGAGGGGGGGGGCATTTTGAAAGTAGCTTTTAGTTGCATTTCAAGAACTCTGACCTGAAGCATAACAAGGAGGTTCACTATTCACTTTACTTCATTAACTGATTTTTTTTATAGATACTTTATAAAATAGTTTAGGTTTCCTTTTCTTGCCTAGCTACAAAACTGACAAGATGTAATTAAACCAACAGAGCCTACACAGATGCTCCGGGTATTTGGGTTCTCTGTGATCAGCATGATAATCCTGGGATTTCTTCCTATGTATTGCTGTTCTCTTTGCCGGAGAAGGTAGACAAACATAAATCTTTATTTGCTAATTCCTAACTATCTGTGGATAAATTTGTGTTGACTTATTTATTTTATTGCTTTATAAATGAAGGGATAATGTTTGATAATGTTTGAGTTCTTTACTTTTTGGAGAAAAAAATAAAAATAAAATTACCATTTTTTTCTTTTAAAGACACATTATTTTTTCACAAATATGAAATGTCCTGTTTAATAGGCTTTGTATATTTTATCATCAAACAAACTGGGATGAAAAAGAAGTGTGCGAGCTGGAGATGTGCGGAGTTGTGGCAGCCAACTCGGGGGAATCTCTGCAAGTGGTGAACTACCAGGGCTCTCACACCCTTGTTCTTAAAACATTGGTCTGTCTTTAACAGAAGTTATAGCAGACTTTTCCTTAGAGTCTTATGCCAGATACCAATGGAAAACTATCACTTGATGCTTCCAAATTTGTTCCAATTTTTTTTTTTTTTTTTTTTTTTTTTTTTTTGTAGATTTCCACCCACTGAAGCAGAATGGGTATGAACGTACACAGCAGAGCCAGAATAAGAATAACAAGTGAGGCAGGGGGATATGGCTAAATGACATAGTACTTTCTTTGCCTGTGGTCCAAGGGTTCAGTTCCCAGCATTGAAAAAACATTAAGGTGTTAGGAGCTTAGCATTTAGGGAAATCCCATATTCAGATTCAAGTACAAGGTCAGCAAAGGCATGACTGAGAGCAATTCAGTTTCCCCTTCAGTTTTCTGGGGAAAGGTTTTGGTTGCAGATTAACCATTTCTGATGTTTTTACAGTTTATTTTATTTTTCATAAGGATATCAAGGTTTTGTTTATCACTCTAACAGACCTTTATGTGTGTGTGTGTGTGTGTGTGTGTGTGTGTGTGTAGTACTAAGGATTGAAAGTAAGACTTTGTGTGTGATAAGTGTTTCATTGCTAAGGAAAGTACTATACCATAAAGCTATGTACCCAGTCAGCGTCTCATTGAGTTGTCTAGTCTGGTTTTGAGCCTTACTATGTAATTCAGGTTGGCCTTGTACTTTTGATTTACCTTCCTCAGCCTCTGTGTAGCTGGGATGATAAGCCTATACTACAAGGTGCAATTTTAACAGAGCGTTTTAAATTCTTCTGTTAAGTCATGAAATTTCAGCTATTCCCACTTGCATGCAAGCCAATTCTTTTTCTCAGATTTTATTTAACTTTAAATTTTGAGTATAGAATTTTTTTTGTGTGTATGGTATATGCTCATGTGTATGAGGATGCATGTGCCTGTGCTTGTGAGGAGGTCAGATGATGCTAGAGGCTCTGGTCTATCACTTTCTGCCTTATTCATTTGAGACAGGTTGAGATTACAGGTGTGCAAGGCCTGCCTGACTTTTATTTTAATGTTGTTGCTAATAACCAAACCCAGATTATCATGCTTGTATACCAAGTGTATACTTGAGTGTATGGTTTCTAGCCTCCTCTATTCTCTCTTTATTTCCTCCGTCCTTTCCTTCCCCCTCCCTCCCTCTCCGCCTTCCTGCCTTCCTCCCTTCATTACTATATTTACTTGTGTGGGTGTTTTGCCTGCATGCATATCTGTTCCATGTACATGCTTGGTGCCCCAGAGGCAAGAGGACAGCATCAAATCTCCTAGGCTTGGAGCTATAAATGGTTGTAAGCCTCCTTGTATGTTGCTTGGAATCAAATTCATATCCTTTGGAAGAGCAGCCAGTGTTCTTAACAACTGGGCAATCTTTCCAGTTCCTGATTAGCCTTTTTTTTTTTTTTATTTTGTTCTTTTCCTTAGATTATTGGGAGTAGGAGTGGAATTTTTTTGATTCCCCTTTTCCCTTCAAAGCTTGCTTTCACAGAAAAAAAAAATTAAAAGTAAAATCTTTGTTAGATTTTGATAGCTAGAATTATTCCTTATAATTTGGAAATTGTCTGGATAGTAAGATTGGCATAATTTCACTTGGATCTTCTATTACATACATATTTACCAACTGATTTTATGAAGACATTTATATCCATTGGATTGTTCTCTTTCAACTAAAATCCAAAAATTATCCCCTGATGACATGAACTTATTTTATGTTTAATATAAACTATATTTGAGACTCAGCCACTGTGAATAAGAACTTGAAATCCATATGTTCTGGTTTCCCATGCTGTTGTGCTTCTATTTTGTGTGAGGGATATTATTCTTTTAAAGCGGGTGTGTGTGAGTAGAGACAAACACAGCACAGATAAAACACGAAGGAAAGGAGGAGACACAGACACGCGGCTCCCACGTGGGTGTGCTTTAATGGGGGAGGGGTAGCACAATAAGGGACAGGTGTGCAAGACACGAGAGGGTGAGGGGAAAAGAGAGTGAAAGCTCGTGGGAGCTCGCTTTTTAACGGGGAACGCAAGGGTGTCTGGGAGAAATGTCCTGCACCTGCGCGCGCCAGGTGTCCATAATCCAGGAGGAATCTGGGAGCTGTAGTTTCCAAGAGGAACAACAAGGGGTATGTTCCTTCTATCCTTCTAAGCTGCCTGCCATGGCCTCAGAACAAATGGCAGTTTCATCTAGGTGTTTAGCTCAATTTCTTCTAGCACCAGTGGTTGAGAGTAGATGGGATACTATCAGTTTATATACTGGAAGGCTGATTTTAAAAAGTAAAGAGCAAATAAGGAGATAAATGGAAGCCAAAGGTTGCAAAACCCCTCTGTTTGAGGTCCACATACCTCATTAGAATAATCCTCTTAACTCACTTCCCATCTCCATTTCAAAGAATAAAGAACATAAGATGTTAAATTAGTCAGAATAAATAACTTCATAAAATGAAAATAGGCATAGTAGTAAAATTCATGGATTAACTATTTAAAAAGGAAAACAGCGAATGGAGAAAGGGCTCAGCAGTTAAAAATGTATAGTGCTCTTGTTTCAAAGGCATGTTTACCTGCAGGTTCAGGTCTGGAGATATCTGCTGTCTCTGGCTTTACTCCCCTCTCACAGAATGCATCTACACAGTTAAGATTAAGGGAAAGAAGCCAGACACAATAGTTAGTGTAAATCACAGGAACTAAAAGGCAAGTACAGATCTGCATTCACATTATCTGTGCCTCTGTTGAAAGAATCCTTCTGCCATTTCATCATTACAAGGCACTCTTGTGCTCTTCTTAGCTCCTTCTGTCTTACACTTGAGCTCTTAGAGTGTTCCTTAGTGGGGAGAACTGTTGTAACTACTCTCTTGGTCATCAGTTGCAAACCAAAGCAAATGAAATTTTGCTTTGATATTCTCTTGCCTCTTTAATTTGGACACTTTTATTTCTATCTCACCCAAAGAGCAACCGACAATAATTGGAGCAATAAAAAAGGAGAACAAGTAGGGAAAGTAAAAACTGTTGTTGGTGACCATTATCACCATTCCCCAGAACCAAATTGGTAGACTTTATTTTTTTGATGCTTCATTATTTCTGTATCAGAGCACATTTATTCAGTACTCGCTTCACTGTGTAATATGGAGTATACAGAGACATTGAAGACCTAGACCCTATTTTTTAAATAAAAATTACTTATTTATTTACATGTGTATGTGTCTGTGTGAGTGTATGAACACATGTAAATGCATGTGTGTATGTGCGTGTGTATGTGTGCACAGATTCTTGAAGATGGCACCTAAAGTCCTCTGCTTTAATGCTCTTCTTATTCCCTTAAGATAGGGCTTTATCTCTAAAATTAGAGTTCATATTTTCTTGGCTATCCTGAAAACCAACTGTTAGAATTCAGGCATTACGTACCCTGGCCAGCCCAAGGTCCTATGACTGTTACATCATTATATAGTCTGTACACAAGTGCCAAAGGTCTTTTAAGAGATAAGTTCTGCCCATGCCCCCTCTTTTTTTGCTTTTCTTCTGAAGAGGAAAGCAGGTCTCTCTCTCTCTCTCTCTCTCTCTCTCTCTCTCTCTCTCTCTCTCTCTCTCCTCCCCTTTGCCCTTCTCTCAATAAACTGCCTGCATGGCATGTCTATCCTTCTTCTGCCATGGGCTCTCACCCACCACATGGTCCCTTGGCCCACCAAGGTCTCTCTCCCGTTTTACAACAATCCCCACAAATCCTCCTGTCTCTGCCCATATACCTCAAAGCTGATGCTACATGTATTTTGGAGGTTGCATGGTTTGTTATGTGGGTGCTAAGATAGGAGTTCCAGTATTTCAGACAAAACACAAGAAATTAAAGTAAGTGGAGATAGCAGGACAGTCTTTGTGGAGGGATGCCACTTGAATTTGGTTTTGAAGAGAGAGCAGTATTTGAATTACATGGGTATGGACTTTTCCACAGAATTCCTTGCATCCAGAAGGAGATCTCTTGAGTGTATGCCCTTTAACTACCTCTTGTTTCTAAGCAGAGGGGACTGAACTTTGTCTTTAGGATAATTAGTATTGAATCTCCAGCTTTCTTTCTTTCTTTCTTTCTTTCTTTCTTTCTTTCTTTCTTTCTTTCTTTCTTTCTTTTTTGCAGTTCACAGTTTTTATTTTTATTTTATTTATTTATTTATTAAAGATTTCTGCCTCCTCCAGTTTTCATTTTCTAGACTTGAGGTCAGAATTCATATAATCCAGAAGCTCAAACCTGCTTGAACTAGTTGCATAAATGTAAAAGGGAGAAATGAAAAGATTTCTAAGAATTTGCTAATAAATAGCTTAAACTTGCATATAAGATGTATTTTGAAATTCACTGCACCCTCAAAGTTGTATAACATCTATTTTTAGCCTCATTAATAGGGATCAGAAGCTTCATTAGGTTTAAGTGCCACCAATAGGCTTAAGACTGAATTATATGAGAGAGGAAGAAAAGATCAAGTGTGAAGGGACAGAAAGAAGCAGAGGAGGAAAGCTCTAAGGGTGGCTTGCGGTGGGGAATACTTGAATCACTACCATTAGGGTAAATATCAATGGTAATAGTCTTAAGTATCACATGCACTTTCTAATATTGATCTTTTTTAGTTTAAATCTACATGCAAATGCTAAATATTTCTGCTAGACAGTGATACAACACTTGAAGGTGTACCTAACCTTGGTAAAGTGAAAATTTCCAATATAATGTCATGACAAGTAAACTCCGATGAAGTACATTTTCATGTTTTTCTTCATCTTGGATTAAATTTGTAATTTTGCAATAAAAGACATAGAACTTAGTCTGAAAATGATAGTTTTTTTCCTGACTACTAATAAATTGTCATGTTCTTTTAAAAAAGACTATAGATATCTGATAGGTGATATAAGGAGTACCTGAGGCTGGTCCCACAAGGGACAGTGGTGGGTGACCTAAGCCCTTGGTAGGTCCCCTGGCAGGTGGCCTGAGGCCTCAATGGGAGAGAGACAGAGAGAACTAGGGAATAGAGTT